CCGAAGCACGTAGCCCCTTGCATGTGAGACAGGTGTTGCCAAAAGGACCCTTCTCATTCTCCTTGGGTGTCATTTTAGTCAGCCTTCCACATCATCAGCGCCGCTGACTCATCAACCTACATCACTTGCACACCCCAACAATAGGAAAATGGCATTCTACTGTTGGTGCAACAATGTCTTATAGACAAAGACAACCCATTTTTAAGGGAGTGGAGCATTTGGTCTATAAGAAACTTGTTGGAAAGGAATGTAGAAAACCAACAAATGGTGGCTGATTTAGAGCTTCAAGGAGCCATTGATGTGCCTAAACTAGCAAGACTAGGTTGAAGAGTTGATCAAGAAACTTAACATGCAAAGCTTGTAGTGTTCCTGAAAATCACCAACTGTTGAAGAATAGTTTGACTTTTGCCTAAAGCATTTTGCTAGCTCAAGCGTAGATCATATTTAAGTTTTCCCATTTCTTTCCAGATTTGTAATATAAATCAATGGGAAAAGCATTTTTTTTTGGAATTTTCAAGTATTTAATTATTTCTTTAAATTTATTGAATGTAGTTTGGAAATTCCTAAATTTCATCTTAGAATTTCTATAAATTACAAAGTTAACTCCGAGAAATTGCTATAAGACTTGCTCACTTTGTTTTTCTCTTTTTGGCTTAGAATTGGAGCAAAGATCTATCAGAGGAGGCAAAAAGAACTAGAGCAATCATTTTTGATCATGCTTTATATATACATATATCGAATCCCATGTCTTTTTCTTTTTCAAGCTTTGTTGCCAAGGAATGTTGATTTACCTTTTTTTGAGTTTTGTCACAAAATGATTGTACTTTGGTATTCATTTAAGTTTTTTAGTGCATGACTAATATGATTTGATACCCTTACACTTTAGTTGACTATTATTTTATTCATTTTGAGGTTATTTGTTTTACACACCAAATGTTTGTTAAAATGTCTATGGGGGTTATGCTATTGTGTTTGTAAAGGTAGGGATAGTTAATTTTGTCTAGTTGGTTGCATGTTTTGAGTCGTTCAAGTGACTTGATTGGGTCCCAACTAAATTAGTGAAAGATGGGTGGGTATAATTGTCAAGTTCATGGGTTTTTGGTTGTTGGAAGAATTGTTAAGGTGAAATGAAAGCTATACATGTTCTTTGGATTTTTTTGGGTTTTGAAGCATTGTTGCTTAGAAGAATGGAGTTACTTTTTGCTTGGTTTTTGACATTTTTAGGGATGTTACAATTTGGGCAATGATTTTTATATAAAGTATTTATGCTCTTCAAAACAAACTTTTAGCTTACTTATCATGCACTTTGAAATCATGTTTGGATGTCCACAATGAAAGTAATTATCAACTTCAAAAAATCTAGATTAGGATAAACTTTTAGCTTCCTAAAAGTAGATATTCATGCAATGATCTTGGTTAGCCTACCAAAAGTACTTGATATTTCTACTACTTACCCAAAATTATTGCAAAAAGGCAATTAATATTCTTGCTCACAATTAGGAGCAAAATAAAATACAATTTAGCATGATCTTGTAGTAATTAGAAGATGTATGTTTATAGTGGAAAAAAGATCTATGCTCAAGCTTTATGAGTAATTTATCTACCCTTGATCTAATGGTTGTTTGATAATAGACCATGATACTTCAAGCTACTTCTCAAGTGGCTTTCTAGCCTTTGAATATTAAGTTTCTAACCAAGCAATCCCAAGGTTTAGTTTACGAGTTGCTATCCATAGTAATTGATATAAAAACATGCTTTGAAACCATCTATGAAAATATTTATGAGTAAGAATCTAAGTTTCTTTGATTTCTATTGGTAATTTAAATTATTTTATGACTATATCTAATGCAATTACATAATCTAAATGCTCAAAGATGTTAGACTCCTCGTGTGTCATATAATGATAATTAGCTTAAGATTTGATATATGATACATTATGGACCTGCAATATTTCCAATTAATATTCTATTTATTGTCGAGAAGAGATTTTGATCCAGCAGATTCATTTTCTTGATAACCTTTGTCTTTTTCAACTATTACGACCTTCTTTTTGTTTTTTTATATCTTCAAAGGTAGCTTTACCATAACAATTAGATAATTTTAAAAGATGATGTTCATTAAGAATTTGTAATTCCTTTCTTTGTGCTGCAGTTTGTCAGGACTTTGGGCTACATAGAATTTGCAGCTTGCAACATGGTTTGGTAATATATCTGCTTCTTTAGGTCTTGATTTTCTATTTGATTTTCATTTTTGGAATTAAAAGGACTTTAAAAATAGATTTTCTTTTATTTCGATAACTTTTTCCAATAAAATCACCTACCAATGGAACATTTAAAATTTATATCTTAACAAATTTTATTAAAGAATTGAAACCAACCCAAAGCTGCTACAAGAGTGATGAAATCGAGGTTTGGAATTTCTGCATTGTGTTAATTGATTATGGGAAGGGGTACTTAATGGAAGCTAAAAGCTTAAACCCAACTATATTTATGTTTTATAGGCATTTAACTAATTCATATATCTTTTACAGTATCTTTTGTTTTTTTAACCCATATAAAGTCTTTATTTTTGTTAATGGTAAAGTTGTGGGTTTAAATGAAGTAGATTCTATTATGAAATTACCAGATGATACACCTATTGAAGGAGGTATTAGTTTAGGCACTAAAGCCAATAGATGAGGCAGGAGACTATTAATTTGCTTGTAAGTCAACAAGATTTTGGAGCTTCAACGATAGGTTTGACAAACTTCTTCCTCCCAATGATTTACCTATTTTTAGGTTTTGTGTTTTTCAATGATTGTTTGAATCATATACTTTACCTTTGCATTCAATATTTATTTTCTTAAAAAAAAAAAAAGAAGAAGAAAAGTTATGGTACTCTTATAAGGGCCTCGTCTACAATAGATCAAAAGAAGAAAAACAAGGATCATCCCTAATGTGTTAAAAATCGTACTATACTATAGGTTTTTTTTTTTTTTAGTACATCATATGATAGGTTATATAATAAAAAATAGTCTTCATCTTTCCTCCTCCCTCACTTGCTTTATGATTCAAACTTAAAACCTCCAACTTGAAGTAATAATGGTGGTGGTTGATGTTGGTAGGATTGGTACAGGGTTGAGGGCATGAGAGGAAGGGAGAGGTTGAGCCATAAATTTCATTTCTTTGCATCTAGCTTTTTGGCATAATATGGATCAAAAAAGAAAACATGGTGTCAAGACTAATTGTTGAAGGAAAATATAAAATCTTTCCAATGAATGATTGGTGAGATGCCTGATTGGGTTTAATTTTAATAAGAACCTAATTAGCTTCCTTAAAGAATTTGGATCTAGTGAAATGAAATTCAAGATAAAAATAAATGCACTCCCCTTAATTTGGCCATCGATAAAGGGCATTTAGATGCCACCAAGTGTTTGCTAAAGGCTTCAACTTATTCTAAATACACTTAAAACAAGCAAGGGAAAGTATGTTTTGCACTCACCATTAATAACGAGCACATGGGTCTTTATTATCTGCTACATCTTGATGACATTCTAAATAGAGCAGCAAAGGTTGAAGATTAGAATAGAATAGAAGGATGCATGGCAAAAAGGTTGAAGGTGAACAGGTCTTTCAAGAACCTAAATTTGGTTTTTTTGAGAACCTAGATCTAGGTTCTTTTGAAATTAAAAAAAGAAAAAGAAAAGAAAAGAAAGAAAGAACGAGATGTAAACAATGAAAGAAGAAGAAGAAGAGGCAAAGAGGTGGGTAGAAGAGAATGTTGTGCCTATGATTTTGATGATTACAAAGCATATTTAAGTGACTAATTTGTTCATTTAAGTGTGTAATTAAACTTCTAAAAGATTGCAAAATTAAGTGAACTTAGATTGCACTAAAAATAGGACCAAAAAGGTTGGAAAATTGTGCAGAGAGCTGACTTTAGAAATCTATAGCCAACTCTAGTGAAGGCAAGTGTAAAGAGCTGGCACTAAAAGTTGCAGCTAGCTCTATGAGAGATTGTAATTTGGCACGCATGGAAAACAGACATAAAGCCAGCTATATCTTTGCAGTCGATTGTGATGGCACATTTAATTCCCAACAGTCGAGTTATTCAAAAGAATATTTTAATCTTTTGTAGTTGGATTTCCTAAGCCGACTTTACGTTCTTGCAACCAACTCTTAAGAAAATAGAATGTGTAGGAAAGTCGCAAAGTTGGCTCTAGAATTCAAAGCCAACTCTATAAAGTCGGCTCTAAAGTTAAAGCTGGCTTTACTAACAAGTCTGCAACTTGAACTTACTCAATCTATAAAGCATTTAATGACCCCCAACGGCTAGAAATAGTTTTTTTTTTTCTAAAGGGCTATAAATATAGTTGGTAACATATTTGGAATAAGTTTTTTCAACATTGTATTGAATATCTTTACCTACCAACTTGTGCTTTAACTTGAGTTTTTGATCTTTAAGTGATCTTTGCTTGTAATCCTCTTCTTGTTCTAATTTTGTGTTATCTTAAGTATGTGATTATTCCTTCAAGAGTAATTTGTAGAGAGGATTCTTGGGGTTTATCTTGTAAAGGGGTGAGATTTGAGAGAAATACCCTTTTTATTGTAAAAGGATTGAGTGGCTCCTTTAAGCCACCCTTGTTTTTCTTAGTGGGGAGTGTGGAGGAAATCCTTGGTGAGTGAAGCCAAGGCAGAGGATTAGGCTCCAAGTGGGTGGACCAAACCTCTATAAAATCATTGTGCAAGCTCTTCTTCCCTACTCTTTCTTTAATTTTTGTTTGGTGGTTGCAAAGTGATGAAATTTTTTTAACTCTAATTCACCCCCTTCTTAGAGTGCATTAAGCCAACACCTGGTGTCAGAGCAAAGGCTCCAATTTGAAGGTTTAACCATCTAGGAGTTGATTGAGGATGGCTCAATTTCAAGGTTTTTAACCACTTGAAGGTTTGTCTACCACTAAGCCTCCTTTCTTTGATGGTACTAATTATAAATATTGGAAGAATAGGATGAAGTCTTCATGCTAGCAAATGAGCCTAGGCATGGATTGTGATTATGAAAGGTCCATATGTGGCTATGAAAGTTGTTGGAGAAAATGAGGTGCCAAAGGAAGAAGTTGAATGGAATGATGAAGACTTGGAGAAGATCAAGATCAACAACAAAATCAACAAGCTTCAATGTGCTCTCAATCCAATAGAATTCAATAGAGCATCTGGGTGTGATACAGCTAAAGAGATGTGGGACATGTTAGAGGTAACACATAAAGGAACAAGCTAGTGAAGTAGTCAAAAATCAATAAACTCATTCACATATATGAGCTTTTCAAGATGAAACCAGAGGAGAGCATTAAAGAAATGCACACAAGATTTAATGATATAATTACCAATCTCAAGGCTCTTGGTAAAGTTTATCCTAATCAAGAATTGGTGAGGAAGATCCTTAGAAGCTTGCCTAAGAGTTAGGAAGCCAAGAAGGCCACAATTGAAGAGGCTAAGAATCTCAACACTCTCAAGCTTGATGATCTCATTGGAAACTTGATGACGTACGAGATTGATATTCAAGTTGATGGTAAAGTTGAAGTTGTTGAGAAGAAGAAGAATGTTGTATTCAAGGATAGCAAACAAAAAGAAGAAAGTGAAGATGATGCTAGTGATGATGAGTCTAGCAATGAAAGGGACATCACCAAATTGGCTTCAAAGGAAGTGAAGAAATACATGAAGAAAAGCTTCAAAGGGAAATCCTCTAGAAGAAACAAGGAAATTCACTATTCTAGAGGAAGAATATGTAGTAATGATGATGATAAAGGAAAGCCAAGCGAGAAGCATATCATATGCTATAAATGCAACAAGATGGGGCACGATAGAAATGAATGCCCTCAATTGAAGAAGGGTGAAAGGAAAGACAAGAAGGGCATGAATAAGAAAGCTTTTGCTGCCACTTGGAGTGATGATGAGACTAGCTCAACAAAAAGTGAAAACTCTTTGGAGAATGGTGTTGCAAATCTTTACTTCATGGCTCAAGAGGATAGCAACAATGATGAGGAGGTAAACTCTAACTTTTCTAGTTTAATTAATGAAAATTCCTTTGAGTATACTTATGATGATTTATGTAAAGTTCTTGATTGCTCCATTAATGATATCAAGAGGCTAAGGAATGAGAATCTTGCTCTTACCAAATATATCTCTCTACCTAATGATGAGCTTGAATTTCTTTCAAAACAAAATGAGGTTTTAGTTAAAGAGAATGCCTCCTTAAATGTTAAGATTACATCTTTGAAGCATCAAGAATCTAAAAATGCTTTGAAAAAAGGAAAATGAGAATTTGAAAAAGAAAGTTTATGATATTGAGAATGTGATTTCCAAATTCACTTTGAGTAAAGAAAATTTTGATTCTATCTTAAGATCTCAAATAAGTGTTTATGACAAAAGGGGTATTGAATTTGATTATTCTAAAAAGCAAAAGGCTTTTAATAACTTCTTTGTAAGAGCAAGTGAATTCTCTAATCCTAAAGTTAGTTGCTATTGTTGTGGTGCAAAGAGACACTTTGCCTATGTATGCCCTTTGAAGAGATTAATAGCTCAAGGTAAAGCGAGGCAAATTTGGGTTCTAAAAGGAGCTTTAAGCACTAACTCCCATGCACACGAGCAAATTTAGTTACCAAAAATAAAACTTGATTTTGTTTTGTAGGCAAAGTTGATGGAAAAGTCATTAGAAAAACAAAATTGATGTTGATAAAGACTTATGCCTCAACAAGAATGTTGGAGTGGAAGTGCAAAGAAAACTTTGTTTTTGAATGCTCCACTCATGTGCTCTAATCGGTATCATTTATCCTATTGCATTTATTCATTGAGTATAATTACATTAACATGACTTAATTATTTGTTCATGTATGCTCATTCTTTGATACATATGCTTGTTGAGTATGATATCATTTTATGTGTTTTCTCTAGTGTTGATACAACCTTGTTGATTGTTATATATATATATATATATATATTACTCTTATCATATTTACATGCTTGACGTATGTAAATGATTAGATTAACTATTTATCATATATAATACATGATGAGCTCTTGATGGTATAAGTGATTTTTAATGTCATATATGTCATTTTGATGATATTTGGTTATGTGCAAGTGTATGTCATGCACTTGAATACTTGCATAGTCATGGTTGATTTCAATGAATAAGATTTTTGATATTTACTATCATATGATATGATGCATATAAAAAGGATTAATAGTGGTGAATCTATTCATGTAATATTCAATGAGACTAACCCCTTTTGCCCTAGAAAGAGTTGTGAAATTGTGATATAGATGTTGTTGGGCAACAAGGGTAAGAATGAACATTGAAGGCAATAGCATCACACAACCTCCATGTGAAGCAAGTGAAAAGAACAAAATTGAGGAGATGCAACAAGCACAAGAACAAAGATCATAATTCTACCCAAGAGAGAAATCCTATAAAGGTAATGTGATAAACAGTAATACATATCAAGGGTAAGAAATATATATATATTGTACTTAGTGATGGCATTAACATTGTTTTTGGTGCTACTAATGAGTTTTGTTGCAAAGAATTTTCCAAAGCAATGTTAAGTAAATTTGAGATGATTAAATGTATTGGAACCTTAAATGCAATTATCCCAAAGATGAGATCTTCACCAATCAAAGGGAACATACAAAGAAGATGCACAACCAATGGTTTCTCCATTGAGGTATGCAATTGCTTTAACAATAATGGAGGTAAACCTATGGATTTCAAACTCTTTTTAAGCATGATGGATATATGTATATTGATTTATCTTGAGTGCATATCACATTTTTGCTATTTCATTTATCTTTTATTGATCTTTATGACTTAAATCATAAATTGTTATAGAAGTATGTTCATGTTTTCATGAGTTATTTTATTAAGGATGAACTCTTTTGTTTGTTCTTCATATGGTTTTCAATCTTTTTTGTTGAATAACAAAAAGGAGAGAAACAATCTTTTGACCTTCATAGTTGCTTGAAATGAGATATCTTTGCTTACTACAAAGCCTCTTGATTGTGATAGATTTTTCTTTATTAGTAATGAACTTGGCATGTTAGATCCTAGTGCTTGAAGTGGTTTTTGAATTTGATGTGATTACTTGTTAAAATTTATGCAAATTAATGAGTTTGATTTCTACATTTAGATTATATCATATTGATTATTGGTGCACACATTGATATATGTCTAAGATTGCATGATTTAGTAGTTGATGTTCAACTTAGAATTGGTTAAATGAAAAATTATCAAATTAGTTGCATCTTCTTCAAAACAGCCCCAAAACTCTTGTTTTTGTCAACTAAAGGCAGCAAAGCCAGGTCCAATTTTTTAACAGTTGACTCTACAAAAAAAAAAAAAAAAAGAATGTTCGGGTTCTCCAAAGTTAAGCTAGCTCTCAAACCATAGCCGACTCACCCGTAGGCAAATTTGACCCGAACCCACAACAGAGCTAGCTTTGCTACTAAAGCCGACTCTCCTAGACAATTTTTAATATTCGACCCTTTTTCGCTCACATTCCAGATTTGATTCTCTCCCAAAATTTGCCCTCATTATCTATGCACATTTCTTGGCTTATTATCATGAATTGTGGATTTTAATGGTATATGTCTTTATGGTTGTCTATGATTTTGATAATTATGTTCTTAAGTGTTTTTATTGAGGGGGAGCAATTTGTGGATATTATACTTAAATTACATATTCTTCATGCTTTAAAGGTTGATATGCATGAATTAAGGAGTTTTTTTGATTATGTTTATATACTTTTTGATGGATGACAAAAAAAGGGAGAAAGTATGCTGAATTTTTATGACTTACTATCATTTTCTAGAGTGTTTTGATGTTGAAATTTCTAGTTAATTTTGAAGCCTATATGTGCATTCATTGAAATATATATGTGCTTTCATTAATTCATTCTCAAAGTGTTTTGTCATCATCAAAAAGGGGGAGATTGTTGTACCTATGATTTTGATAATTACAAAACACATTTGAGTGATTAATTTGTTCATTTAAGTGTATAGTTGAACTTCCAAAAGATTGCAAAATTAAGTGAACTTGGACTGCACTAAAAATAGGACCAAAAAGGTTGGAAAATTGTGCAGAGAGCCAACTTTAGAAATCTACAACTGCCTCTGGTGAAGGCAAGTGTTGAGAGTCGACTCTAAGAGCTGCAACCAACTCTACAGAAGAAAAATTCAAGACTGTAGTTTTGCGCCACAAAAAATGGATGCAAAGCCAGCTATATCTTTGTAGCTAGCTATGATGGCACATTTAATTCCCAACAGTCGAGTTATTTAAAGAATATTTTAATCTTTTGAAGTTAGATATCTTAAGTCAATTTTTCGTTTTTGTAGCTGACTCTTGAGAAAAACAAAATGTGCAGGAAAGTTGCAAAGCCGGCTCTAAAATTCAAAGCAAGCTCTTCAAAACTAGCTTTGGAGTTAAAGTCAACTCTACTGACAAGTTTGCAACTCAAACTTACTCAATCTACAGAGCATTTAATGACCCCCAATGGCTAGAAACGGTTATTTTCAACCAATGGGCTATAAATATGGTTGGTAACAGATCTGGAATAAGTTTTTTCAACATTGTACTGAATATCTTTACCTACAAACTTGTGCTTTAACTTGAGTTTTTGATCTTTAAGTGATATTTGTGTGTAATCCTCTTCTTGTTCTACTTGTGTGTTATCTTGGAGGTATGATTATTCTTTCAAGAGTGATTTGTAGAGATGATTCTTGGGGTTTATCTTGTAAAGGGGTGAGATTTGAGAAAAATACCACTCTTCTTGTAAAAGAATTAAGTGGCTTCTTTAAGCCACCCTTGTTTTTCTTTGTGGGGAGTGTGGAGGAAATCCTAGGTGAGTGAAGCCAAGGGAAAAGACTAGGCTCTAAGTAGTTGGACCAAACTTCTATAAAATCATTGTGCAAACTTTTATTCCCTACTCTCTCTTTAATTTTTGTTTGGTGGTTGCAAAGAGGTAAAAATTTTTTAACTCCAATTCACCCCCCTCTTGGAATGCATTGAGCCAACAGGGAAAAAGAGGACAGAGAGAGATGATACCTTTTCTTCTATTTCTCCTCCTCTAATCCAAATGCAAAACCCTAAAAAAATCATAATTTCCCCTTACCCATTTCTCTTCTCATCTGGCCTAATTAAGGTTCGATCTCCTTTTGAAGTTCCTTTTAGCTTAAACCACCCTTTTAGATTGATGGAGGAAGAAGAGTAAGGTGTGAGAATACAAAAGGGTGAAGGTAATTTTAACAATGAATAAGCTTTTAATTTGACATGGCATGTGAGTCAAATGAGGTTTTTACCATTAAATTGGGCTTAAAGTTTCAAACTAGTGGGCTTTAGGAGTTTAAACTTCAACTTTACAATATGAGGAAATCTAAAGCCAAACTTAGAAAGTCTAGGGGTACTTTGGTATTTTTGCCTTGTTCTAAGTGGAATTAAAGCAAAGAAACATAAAAAAAAAAAAAAAAAAAAAAAAAAATCCCTAAAAAATAGATTTTGTAAAGGTCCTCCATGAAAAGACAAAAAATAATGAAGCAACCTAAGCCCACAAAACTCACTAGAAAAGGGATAGAAAAGGAAATTGGTTTTGTAGTGGTGCTAAAACTTCATGCACGTTGCCATTTTGATCCAGCTTACACTCAAATAATGGCAATTCTTCCCCTTCTATTTTGAATGTATTTTTTTGCTTTTCTTCTCTTTTCTTGCGAAAGTAATTACTTCTCTTTTGAGTGGTTTTCAATTGCAAAATGTCTTTAACTTTTTCATGATATATTTCTATGTTAAATAATATGTTTTAGCATATTCTCTCATATGTAGAGGTAGTTGCTGTTGGGTTTAGGAGAATGTAGCAAACGCAAAAAATTTTAAAATTTAATCTTGACCTTTTTTAACCCACCTAGAATCTTTATGAATCCATTGATGGTTAAGAAAGGGTTAATAGTCAGTACCGCAATGATGCATGCCTTATTGATGTATAGATCTAACCATTATCCTCCAATGGAGCCACCTTAGAATCCAAGTGTAGAATTCCTTTAATGGTAATACACATGTATGCTTGGGGATTCAAAGAAGATCAAGTCTCTAAAGGTGTTTGCAATTGGAAAGTCAGTGTGTTCTCCTTTAGGGTTTTGGTAGAATAATTTTAATAGTCTAAGATTCTACAATGAAAGGAATCAACTACAGTTTCTATTTCCTATTCATATTTATAGTAATGGGGAATAGAAGACTTCCCATTCTAATCCAATTAAAATTACCAAATTTGGTCTCTAAATCAAAATAGAAATCCTAAATGGAAAAGATTTTATTGTTTTTTCCCTTTGTTTTTCTCCTTGTTGCACAC